ATTAAATACGTTGATGTTATAATATAACTGGGTTACAGTTCATTTATTGTGTCAGAGAATCAGTTCAGAATTATTCAGTTCAATTTTTCTCCAGTTTCTGAAACAGTGAAGGTAAAACATTACAAATCCTAATGATTGCAGTGAATCTTACAGTTACAGTAATTTCACTTCTAAATACAACAAATCTGCAGCATATTTTCAAACTGACATCGTTTACTTAAAGATGAGACTTTGGTTAGTATTAGTGGCTTGCTGTCCCTCAGCACAGTGCACCAGCTGATCAGAGTCACTCTTCATATATTTCTAGCAGGATTTCCTCACAGTGCAGCGAGCTGGGAATGTATAAATCCACCGTCTACTCGCCATCGGTGGCTCCTCACGTTACTTCTGTGTTCACTTCTGCCAGTAACTGCCGCTTGAGTCCACTATTGTGTGATTATTTTTTCTTTCATTCTACCTCTCAGATGTCTCAGCATTTCTTATCCGTACAAAAAAAACAGAAGAGATTAGAATTGCTTCTGCAAATTACCAGGAAATCAGATTTCTCAGAGAGCAAAGGAAATCTGGTTTTGCTTATCTCCACCGAAACTTGTATATATGATTTTCAGAAGCCTGATGATTGCATCACAAAGCACGTGTGAACACAACACAGTAACATAACACTACTGTAATATTACTGTGCTGTACTGAGTACATCTTGAATTTAAAATTGCACATTTTAATATTTATTTCAGCTCAGGTTTGCTCACAATAATCCAGAGGAAAATAAACAGAAGAGTTTAAATGAACCACAGACATGTTCCAAAACATTATTAGACAATCTGTGTTTTGTTCTGCAACTCACAGTTTGACCGTCACATGGGTGCATTAGAGCAGAATGTCGGCTATTAAAAAAAGCACAAAATGCAAATACTGTTCCTGGAGGCATATTTAGCTTCTCACTGTGGGCAGTGAAAATCTTGCTGCACTCAGCACTACCTGTCATTTGCAAAAAACCAACAGCTGATACATCAAAACCTCACGGTGACTAATTTAACATTGGCTTATTAAAGAGAAACAACAAATTCAAAATGAAATTGTTTTAACCATTAAGCCTGCAGCTTGACTTGAGCCACTGTTGAGGCTTTTGTAACCCCATAAATCAAGCTGTGACTAGACCAGCTTTGTATACAGTGTGTCACGAGAAGGGAAATATATGTGACAGCTTATTAAAAGTGAAGAGTAGCAGACCAGCTCCAAGATGTCTGAGTGAAAACAAAAAGGCTTCCATCTGTACACAAAAAATGGAAAAATGTGTTGGAGCTAAAATTTAATGATGATAACTGTAGATGCCAAATATCCTTCATGGGCCTGAAGGTGATTGTTCGCTCCAGCTGTCATCCATTTGTCATACACTGAACCTGTGTTCTCAGTGCAGCCTGCTACAGCAGTGCATTGGATTATTGGACATAACACATTATTTGGACCCTGTGAGTCTTGAGGGATCATGCTCATGACTGTGTACAGTGTAACAGAACACTGAAACACACTGGATAGCCCCTGTGTATCCTTTCTGACATTGACCCGTGTTATTTTTCCTGGCTGCTACTGAACTTAATGTAATATGATAAGTACACCAGAGATTCAGTCATTCGGTTGATTCTTCTATCAGCTTGGATTCTTTAATGAAAACACCATCTGCTGTCCTTTTTGTGATACCAGTTGCCATGATGATGAGCCTGTATCATGTTGCACAGTGTGATGCAGCTTCGTAAATTAAGTATTAGAGAGCTCCATGCGTAATGGTTGGCGGATCAAGATCGACTCTTATCTGAATGCCACCTCAAATAAGATGCATATTGGTCAAAGCTTGACTATTGCAAACTGTTGCACGCCGTTGGTGATTCATGATGCAGGCGCATTGAAGGAGGGCTGACATTTAGACTTTAGATAAGGTCCTGATGCCCTTTTGGGAGTTTACAAAACAACTACAGCCATCATTTTTATTACAGGTGAATTTACTGTGTTAAATACCAACTGTTGGTTCAAGTGCACCTTGACTTGTGTGTTCTGTCCATTTTGTCATCAAACATCTCCAAAGTTTTAACAAGTTAGTTTTACACACTCTGAGCTAGTTTGGTTTGATGGTGGAGGCAAACCAGGAATAAAAACACAGTTTTGATATACAAATTTGGATTAATATGTCTTAAAGCAGTGGTTTGGATTTGGTCCAGCAGCATCCAGCAATGTTGAACCCCCTCAAACACAGGAGTCACAAAAATAGTCTCTCATCTCTGGTACACATGAAAACAAGATCAGTGATCCCCTCTTTGGTTAGAAGGAGAAAGTTAAAGAAATACACTTAAAATAGTATTTTACTGAACTCTGTCTTTAACAAATTTTAAAAATGACAAATTTGTCAGAAGCAGGACGATAAAAACAAAATGATTTGTCAGATTTTTTTTTTTTCTTCCAATAAATAAACTGGTTGCACAGTAAAGAAACCGTGACTGATTCAGCAGCTACTTGACAAGAATTCTGTGAATATTCTGCTGAGCTGCAGGTTGTGTTTAAACAGCAAAGAGGAGGCGACATCCTTCTGGAGCTGATGTACAGAAAAGTACAAATATTGTTTGCAGAGGTTGTAAAAATGTAAATAGCAAAATATGCACAGTGTGAGGATCCAGTTTGTTTTTTAGTTTTGGTAAATTTCCATTTTTAGTCAAATAAATAATAAGAAAAATTAACTTTCTTTTTTCTTTCTTTCTTTTTATGTATGATTTATGGTATTGTAGCCATATAAGATATTAAAGATATTTCTGACTTGTGTCTACTTCCAGCCACAGCTGTGCTGGTTCAATAGAGGTGTTTGACTTTAAGTGAGCACACAATGAATGAAAATGTGACAGGGGCAAAGAAATGCCCAGAAACTGACTGGGATTCAGAGGGTTAATACCATTTTTTTTATTTTATTTTTTAAATCATTTTGTTTATCTGAAAATCTGCATCAGTTTTTATTGTGAGTGACTGAGAAAGAGAATTAGTGTATTTAGGTGAGGGTGTGGATACCACTGCTGGTGCATTGCATAATTTTGTGCTCTCCCTTGAACTAAACTTCACGTTGCCAAACTGGAACATGTGCAAGAACTGGACTCAGATAGAACCTGAGTGAAGACGTGGGAACATGAACATGGTGAGGGCGAAACCTTTAATCTGGTCATTCATGCAGCTGCTCTTTGTC